AGGGGATGTGGGGCAACTTTGGCCTCAGATAAAATGTGCCCCCCAAGACCCACCTCTCAGTCGTCTCACTGCCATCCCCCTCCAGAGGGTGTGAGGAATGCCGGCCCCTTCTCTCCTGTGCAGTTTCAGAGAAGGGGTAGGGCTCTGGCCCCCTGCTCCGCGTCAGCACCATGAGCTAAGCCTGCCACGCTTGTCATTTCTGTCATTCTAGCCCCTGCTTTGGAGTAGCTCGGGATGTGTGCTCAAAGCTGCCCTTCTTGACCTCCTCTTTCTCTACAGTTCTCCTCCTCATCCTCTGCACAAATAACTCCACTGTGTCAACAGCGGTTCAAGTAAAAGAAAGAATTTCAAGAGAGGGAGGACACTGCTGATATGCACCCAGCCCAAGATGTATCTGCCAAGCTCTAGAGCCTTGAGCCAGCTGGCCTGGGCAGGGTCAAGAGGGAAGGAGTCCTATGCCAACACAGTGTCCAAATTTGATTTCAGAGAAAAAAAGCCTTTAATGTGACAACACAGGGCACCACCTTTCATTTCCACACAGCCAGTGGCTCTGGCCAGCTTTGATCAGTGCCCTGGCAGGAATGTGCAAGGTTCAAGTGTATGCTTAGCCCTCAGTTATGCAGCCTCTCCTGCCAGTCCCAGAAGAAAAGAAAAAACCAGGCGCATCCATTTGCACCATTCTGCTGCTCTCCACAGTCTGAACTTGACAATCATCTATGGCCTCCCCCAAACATGGGCTGCTCTCTTGTCCCTGACCTTGGCTGTGAACTCCAGTGTTGTTTTAACCTCTGTTGGAGCTTCCTGAGGCTGGACTCCTGCCCTCCGAGCCTGCGACTGGGTATGGATGCACCTAATAGTGCTGAGTGAGGGGCTCTGCTTACGTGCTGGGGACCCAACAAGACCAGAAGCGAGCAGGAGTGCTGCAGCAACAACTTTGTGCAGACCCCTAACCACTATGCCTCCATGAAATCAGCATGGTGAAGGCATCTGGTAAAAAAAGTGGGACTTTGGTAAAATAACTTCATCACCAAGCATTAATGAGACACTCAGCCCCTTTGGAAGGCTCACCCTGGGGTGCACGGTTATACCTCAACACACAGGCTCTGTGTCCATCCCCTGGTCCCTTTCTTTTTTAGGAATTGGAGCCTGCAGAGGTCAGAAGCTCCAATCACACCAAATGAAGCTGTGGCAGATAGTCTTAAATTATTAATGTTTCTAAATACTAAATGCACTCAGGAACCAATTCAGCCTGCAGCACACAGGCTGTGCATCAACAGGGTCCCAAAGGGGGTTCAGAAAAAAAAAATCCCACTAAGGAGTCTGAGGTAGTAATTCTGTTTGCACTAACACATTTGTCTCTTCCACTGACAGAGGATACACAGAGCCATGAATCCCTTCACTTGTAAGTGCATCCACTCTTCTCATGCTGTTTTAGGCACTCCCCACCCCTGGGAGAGACACAGCTGTCCTAACCATTTCATGCACATCCAAGTGGCTAGTCTTTCAACCTAGGATAAGGCTGGCACCTTTCAGGTATATGGCGAAAGCATCAGACCTCCACATCTACAATCTGACTTGAGTAAAGGCTCTGATTCTGTCACTGGAAAGACTGCAATTCATTAACATAGCTCTGCTGTGCACAGTTTGATATTTATCGTTAACCACATCCCTTTAAAACTAACCTTACTGACAGCTTATTTCTGTAAGCATCCATTTTGCTCTTCATTTAGTTTCATCCCCCTGTGACGCTGGTGGCTCATACCTTTGGTTCCTCTGGCTGCAGACCACTGGTACAACTGGCCTGCAGATAACAACTCTGACTTGGATGCTGTGCTAAAAGTTTGTTGTTTGCATGCAGTTTCAATTTGGTTTCAAGAGGACCTGATGCTGATTTTTGCTCCTAATTCAGCATTTGGCAGGAGCATGTAATTTTGCATGTTGTAGGAAACAGGAAGAAAGTTTTAACTTCAACTACTTGGGCTGTATAGGCACAAACAACACACACAAAGCGCACGCTACTCCCGTTTATCTCCTCCACACCTCGTTTCTTCTGTTCTCTTTCTCTACTCTTCTGGGAATGCATCTGTCTCACTTATGCTCATCTCTCCCACACCCATAGGCATGCACTGATTTGTTATTGCTAGGTCACTTGTGATTACAGGTCTGGATGCACTAGTTTATTGCAGGGTTGTCCCTGGCTTGATAGGCTGTTTGCTGTTTTGTTATTACAGTGCTAAACCTCATTCTCCCATCCTTCCAGTTCGCTATCTTTCACACAAACACACAAACCACCACAACATATTTATTTTGAAATGGCGAACACAAAAACTGACTTGGAGTTTGCAAACAATTTGAAAGGGAATGTGGGAAAAGGGGTTACGGGCCCTGGAAATGCCAGCCTCCCTGCCCCGCCTGACTTCTCGCAGTGGTTGCCATTTTTTCTGTGGGACTGGAATATAAAGCTCCAAGTGCCGCAAGAGCTGCATGGCCATTTGCTTTGTTTGGCTGCAGAAGCCCAAGCACAGCATATTCATCTGGGAAGCTGTTAGCTGGGGCAGGGGAAAACCACTGGTCCCTTTTGGCTGTACAAACACTGGCAGTCGCTGTTCTGAGATAGATTTGGTCCCCTAGAGCAACAGGCACGAAGAACTGAAAATCTCTCAAAATTCTTAATGAGGTATTTACACTTATCAAATATAACAGCAACACAAAACAAAACAAACAAAAAAACGCAAATCAAACAAAACAAAATGAAACAAAACAAAAAAAAGAAACGTGTTTTGGGACCCTTCCAGAAAAAGGGGGATTTCAAAACCAAGCCTACACCTATCCTCCCAGCAGGCAAAATTTCCGGTCTATTTTGAAAAGTCCTGTGTATACCCTCACTGCATTCCTCCTCCTCCCCCTCCCACCAAAAGAAAAAGTTAAGGCAAATTTCTGGGCATAGTTTAAAAGCCACAAAACTTCCTCCATGTGTGTATACTCCAGCTCCACTGCAGATATTTGGAGTTACATAAAACTGGGCAGTTAGTGATTCTGGCAGCTGAAAAATTACAAAGTTCAGGGGCTGAGGAGGGCGTGGGCCAAGCTGAAGTTTTCCAGAGCACCGTACCAGATGGAAAGAGGAAAAATGCTTCTCTCTCGAGGCTCAGAAAGGTGGAGTTAGAAGCTCTGAACTCAAACAAATTGCAGGGAATGTTCTCCATTCCCTATGAGCACTGTTTGGAGATGTTGGTTATCAGGGATGGTTTGGACCTTAAAAAGCAATGAACATGCCTTTCTGTATGTGGCAATGCAATGCTTTTACAGTGACACCACAGAGACTGACATGCTCTGGTTATCCATCATCACCAGAGCCATGCAAACCTTCTCCCTTGTGAGCCAGCAGCACGTTTCCATTTCCATCTGGCCGCTTGATGCGTAAGGATGAGATCAAAGCTCATCATGTAATAAACTGCTCTAGCTACCAACCGTGCTCCCAGTCAGCACATTTACACTAGAAGATGGTTTTGTGCTAAAACATCTGTTTACAGATATGATGCTAAACAGAATGGCTACATTTAAAAATATGGTTGAAGGCAGCTAACTCCAATGGTCTGGACTTATAACTATTGAGGTAGGAACAGGCACCCTTCTTAACTTCTCTGAGTACCCCCCAGTGTGTTAGTTAATACACGGTGTGAGATGCTGGAAGTTTTCAGTGTAAGTAGTCTCAGCTGGGTTTTACTGGGTTTTAAAACATCTTGGCTAGTCAGGCCTAATTTTCTAGGTCTGGACAGGGTTTTAAAATGTGCTTTCAAATGTGACTAGCTGTGATCACACTAAGGACAAAATAGCATTTAAACATGTGCTAGTTAACAAACAGTAGAATACTATGTCCAGTTTTAAGCCATACAGTACAAGAGAGACACTGGCAAACTGAAGCAAAGTCCAGTGGAAGAGCCCTAAAATGGTCCTAAACCAAACAATTTGAGTTCAGCCTGGAGAAGGCTAAGGCAGGAGACTTCAGATAAGATGACAGAATGAGATTAGAATTTGATTATTTTTACAAAAACGCTCTTACAGAAACCAAATTTAGAGATTTCACCAAAGATAATTCGATAATTTGTCCACTAGGAACTGCAATAACTCAATTCATGTAAGTGAAAACTGATTTTTGATTATCGTCACAGGCTAAAATGGAAAGTGGCCCAAGCTACCTAGAGAGGAGATGCTGTATATATCACAATACCAACTACTAAAAGTAACTGAATCACTTAGTCTTACGGATGAAGATCTGGTTTAAAGACTGAATTTTCTGCATGGTGTCATCAGTCCTCAGCAACAGAGGCATGACACGGTCCAGTCTCTTTACCTATTTATTTTGAACACACAAAAGACTTAAACTTCTCTGAGTATAGAATCAGTCATCTAACTAAATAAAGCTACTACTTATGTGCTATGTGGTCTTGGTCAAGTCACTCAAAAGCTTACCACTTGAGATTATGGCTCTGCAGCAGTCTAAATTAAACTAACTGTTGGCTTATGTGGTCCAGCTCTGGCTATGCATTCCCATTCCTCCCTTACACCCAAAACATTGCTCATTAAGCCATTCACCAAGCCATTTCACTGATTTAGGGGAGCATAAAACTCACCTAACAAAAAGCAAGTAACACATCCTTTGCCACAAACAAGGATCACAGGAACAGCTAAACCAATAGGTAAGAAGTAACATTTAACCTCATTTAATTTTAGATAGATGTAAATTTTGACAGGTTTGGGGTTGATTTTTTTGTTTGTTCATTGTTGAGAAGGGAAAGGGAAATTTTGAAAAACAAGATAAAGTGCTCAGTCTCCTATACAAACCATATTCCATCATGCTTTTTCTGTTACTATCAGGTCAATTTCCTTAGGGAAATGTTGAAGTGAAACTTAATGAAACTGTGAATGCTTGCATGAAAATGTTTGTTTTACAATGAAAATACAGGCATGCCATGACAATACTTAGTGTGGGAGGGAGAACGCATTTCAGATACTTTTTGTATCTTACAGAACATTATGTAATTTGTCACTTAGATGTCACTAAGCTACATATAAAAAAAAAGATCAGACATACCAAATAAAAATTATGCAAATGCCTTTTTTTCCCTGTGGTATGGTCTGTAGGATCCAGGGTTCTGACCCAGTAATACCCTCAGTCTGGCAAGTACGTGCGTGAGTGGAAGTTGCAGGACCCTGCTGCACCACAGCACTCTCAATCTGTGCTGGAGCCCCCTTGCAGACCTTGGTGACCTGCACAGTCCTTTTTTTTTTTCTTTTCTGCCTGGGATCTGGCAATGACCTCCTGCAACCTAACTCCTCTCCCCACCAGTGTTTTCTCCAGGCTCTGAGTCGACCTGGCTAATGCTTTTAGCTGTAAGGAGATGAAAAGAAGGTAAGAAAAAAAAAAGGGGGGGGGAGAAAAAAAAAAAAAAAAAAAGCAAGCCCTGCAGATGAAAGTCTGAGGCAGTGTTTTCCTTTCCAAAGTGCTGCTACAATCCCATAAGCTTGTGGTTTCCTGCATTCTGCTGGAGGGCTTTTTTTAAAAAATCCTTTTGGTGATATCTGAAGAGGGAAAATGTCCAGCACTAACAGGAGGCCTTTTGTTCTATTCGTTTCTAAGTGGACTTTAACCCAGTTACTACAGACTGAGTCACTGTAGAAACAAATAAAATAAAAGCCCTCTGTTTTGTCCCTCTGGACAGGTCAGGGACATGTTAAGTTCTGTTCTCCCTTTCCTACTTTATGGAATCAGTACTGGACCTGGCATTGCACTGCACTAATAATGAACATAGTTTATGGCTGTTCTTTTTTATATGTCCTGGCAACCCCTACAGAGTTGATATTTCAATAGAGCCAACATTTCATTAACAAAATAAATGCACAAGGGGTGTATCTATGGGTAACGAGATAAAATTAAATGGAAGAAAGGCTTGCTAGCAGGGACCAGTAAGATCTGTGTAAGCATGACACATAAAGGTGCATGTCTGAGCTATTTTGGTACTTTCTCACATCTCAAATCTCTTAATAACTCACAGCAAACAACTGCTTGTCTCTGAATATGACCGTAAGATTCCCTTGCCATCAGGCTGAATTTTAAGCTGAATTTGAGAATGAATCATGATCATTCCCTGCAGTTCAGTTTGCTATGACAAGTTATATCCTGTCACCATACATCCATTTTAGGATAAATCACAATCTATTCAGACCCCAAACATCTAAACTAAAACAGATCTAAAAAAAATAAGCATCTCATGCATAGGCCTGTAGTTCCCTGGGGCGTACTGAGGCTCTGAAAATCTTTTTGCACAAGAGGATTCACAACTGCCCCGTCTCCCCCCCTTCTCTTACCAGCCCGCCTTCCCTGGAAGCCTTTTTAGCTCCTCAGCCTTCCCTTATCTCTGCAGTCTCAGCACTGGCCAAACAGCTGCCTGCTGGAGCTGCCAGCACAGAGGCAGGCTGTAGGCTTGCCTTTGCCACCCTCTTGTACCCTCCTTTGGAGCTGGTTTCTACAGTGCTTATCTGAAGCCATTGTGTTGCCTTCCAGTAGCCTCCTTCCCAGTCCAGGGTACTCCAATTCATTTTTAAAGTGGGCCATACTGGGAGGGAGCTAGCAGTAGGTGGGCCAGCAATGCCTTTAACAGCTGTGGGGTGGGCATGCATGCAGAGGTGGGACAGCAGGAGACTGGGACACTCAGTAGGGAGAGGTTTGTACCAGCACGGGACTGCTCTGTCAGCACAGAGAACTGAACTCAAGCAAAGCCCAGACCGTGCCAGGCCATGGGTGTGAGTCAGCAGGAGCTGCACATGCGGCCAGCATCGTGCCAGGCATGGGAGGGCAGAGCACGGAGGGCCAGGACTGCACCAACACCAGCGCTGCTGTGCAGTCGGGGCTGTGCTCAGCACCACACCAGGCCTCCTGCTCCCCATTCTGGCTCCCAGTCCCCAGCAAACTTGTCCTACGGCCTCGCTGCAGAGGTTTGCTGGAGAGCAGAAGTACTTTGGCCATTTCTCCTTTTCTCAGTTCAATTTCATGTGCCTGTCTTGGGATACCTCAACCCTGAAACAGTCCAGAAACCGTTGGTCCAGAAACTCTGCCCTGCCAGAATAGCTAAGGGTAAAGGGCTTGCACAGCAAATGAAAAGCGAATGTGAACTCTTACCCTATTGTCTTGTTAACACTATATTCTGTCTGCAGGAGCCTATCGGTGTATACAAGCTGCAGCACAAGTTGTTGAAAAACAAATCAACTGGTGAACAAAGGTGGTTAGAAGGGTCTGCAATCTTGAGGCTGCACTGCATCATTATTCCTACCTTCTTACATTTCTTTTGGTTTATTCTGCAATAGCCAAAATAGACCAAAATAGAGTCTAAGTTCAGCACAATTTGGGAGTGTAGATGGCTGACTGCTCTTTCCATGTTGTGGTAGCAGGAAGGAACACCAAGAGAGCATCTTGCCTTACCTTGTTCCTTGCTACTACATGCAACTAAGATGGTCCTCACACCACTTGGGCCAATGGAAAAGATGCAAAAGAAATTCCATCCCAACTAGAGAGCTGGATAGATTCCAGAGCCTGTCAAGAGCAAGTAAAACAGCAAAACATTCTGAAGTTCAGATGGCAGATTCTTTGGGACATTTTCCAAGCAAATTTATGTTCATTTCTTGGCTGAAGCCAACTTTAAACAGAAATTAGAACAGTGAACATGGAGAGATGTTTGTGACCAGCAGAAGCAAAACATCTGGGCTTTTGCCGGAGACAACTGAGCTCCAGATGTTGTCAACATCACAATTCTAGGAGTGCCAATCGCTTTGCAAGCTGCCCTGAGAAAGGTCACGTCACTGAACTCTTGGTGACTGAATGTCTTTTGTACGGAGAACTCCTCTCCCAGATGTGCAATGCTTGCTGGAGTTCGGTGCAATTTGCTTTGTTACCAGATTAGGCAGAGGGGAAAGAGAGATCACAAGGAGATATTCTACTTTATGAGAGCAAGCTGGTCTCATAGATACTGCATGAGTTGTGCTTGTGCTAATTCCTTTTGATACATGCTGAGTGCATTCCTTGATACAAGATGCTGCCTCAAGCTGTCAGTAAGATAATGAAATATCGGTACATCAGCCCGGTCAGTTTATAGGAATGGCACTCGTTAATATAGATACAGTTTACAGATCCGAATCAATGACGACATTGACTTCATGTTTCCCTGGAGGACACTGTGCTACTGAGAGAAGTACTAACATAAGTTCATGTTAGAGCATGTCTTGCCAGCAAGTAGCATAGACAGAAGGAAAACATTTTAATCTCCTTTCAGGACAGAGGTCTTTCTCAGCCTTGGTTTGTAACAACTGAACTCCTTAGTTCCAGATCACTTCTTTTGCTTCTTAATCTTTGAGTCCCTGACACTGATAAAATGCTGATCATCAATTTTAGAAGCACTGTAACCCTCACACCACGTGTCATCTGTTTCCCTTCAGTGTTGCGCACATAGACCCCATAGGCCATGTTTGTGCATGTGACAGAGGAAGGAAAAACAGAGGACACATGATCTGAGGGTTATAGTGAGACTACGTGCATCTGCTTTAGGACGCAATGGTATAGCACAAATGAATGCAGTGTGTTTGCATGACACGGAGGCACATGACTAAGCATACCACTGGACAGCTCTGTGAAGATGTGAGTGAAACGGATTCTCTTTTGTAAAAGCTGGTCTCCCTGCCAGATTTTTTTTTTCCAACTCTACAGTTACTTCGCAATGTGAAAAGCTTCGGAATGAAATCTGTTTTTTGACACCGTGTATACTAGGAAGGCTTAAGAATCGTCTGTGTACTATCTGCTGCAGAGTCAAAATGTGCCTCAGTGAGAAGCACTGCACTTTATATAATAAATTGATTGGAAAATGGGTTTCAGCAGCAGAATAATATAACTTGCATCCATTTGCCTCTCAAGAAGGGATGCACAAAAGAGTCTGTCACTTAATTCAGCAGAGTGTTCAGTGGGTCAGCCTGGGAACGTACTTATTGACAAAAGGGCACATTATGGCTTTAGAGCTTGTTGGAATGAAGCAGGCTTAAATATGAGTGTGTATACAAATTGTTTTATCATATAAATTGTTGGTTGCTCTTTCTGATATACTCCAATGCGCAACAGCCTCTTGCTCAGAAATTAACCTAATCCGCACATGAACTGAGCTTCTTTTCCTGCTTCATTGCTATCACAAACAGCTGTTTTCTGCCTATTTGCACTTCATGCACAACTTCAGTTACCTTTTTAATTTCATAACTACTGAAGTAAGTTCATGATGAATTCTAACAGTTGTTCACACAAGGCTGCACTGCCTACATTTAGTATGCAGTATACCCAGAATCGAAGTTTAAAAAGACTTTGCATCAGCAAACGAACAATAAAAAAAAAACAAACAGAAAGCTGTTTGAGCAGAGGAATGAATTTCTGCTAAGACCTTTGACAGTAGATTCATTGGCCTCCAGCTGATCAGACAGACTTTCGGCTACTTGCTGGCTTTATTCTCGGGCAATCTGAAGACATTTGGGTAGTGCATTTTAAACCAATTGATTGTTTTCTCAGAGTCTACATAGGGGTCGGGAAAAAGGGGAGTATCTTTCTTGCTAATGTTAGCTAGACAATGGCAGCTTAACTGTAAAGCCCCCTAAAAGAGAATAAGCCTATTGTGTCCCCAGTGTGTTTCCCACATTTCAAAGGCCACTAAGTAGCACCAGCATCTTTGCCTCTGGGTTACTGAGAAGACAGACTCTTATGCTTATTAAATGATGGCTTTCCCTAATGATTTGAAACAAAAAAGGCACACACATAGGAAGCCAGAGATGTGCACATTTAAGGCTTCTCCTGCCACAAGGTCAAACACATGAAAAGACACAACAAAAAGTTTGGCCCTGAGATACCGGAGTGGACCCACTCGCCCATCTCTCCCACACCGGCCCTTACCCTCTTTTCTACTGCGAGAGCCCCCGGTTCCAGCACAATTAGGCGCAGCACCAATGGCATTTCTGCTGCCTCTCCTTCCACTTGGCTTCACTGCTGAGAAAGAAGCTTGTTCGGCGGGGAGGCGGGCACCGCTGCCTGAATAGTCTCTGAAGCATTCATTATCTCCCGCCTAATTACATGGCCGACATAGTGTTGTTGTTGTGGGAACATTGCATCACATTAATCAGCAAGGGGATGTGCCAAGATGAAAGGGTCCCCTTGTGTCTGCTCTCTGCTGTGGAAAATGGGCAGGAGGGCGGGGGAAGGCGCGGGGTATTTATCAAGTCCCAAGGGAGGGAAGGCACAGCGGGGGCACCCGAGCTCAGCCCGGCCCCGCCGCCATCTTCCCAGGCCAGCTCTGGTGGCACGCACGCTTTTTGTGGTCACATATGGTGGAGGACTGACAGCCTCAGAGCCAAAAACCTTCACCACAGCAAGCTATGAGCAAGGGCAGTGTTGTGGCCTGCTGCTCGGCTGCTCCTCCATAGCCTGTCCTGCCCTCAGCCCTCTCTGACAAGGCAGGGGAGCTCCTCTTTGAACAACCAACTAGGCATTCAGCTTCCACCTGCCCTCTGGGCTTCACGGAAAGGCACTGTCCCTTGAAACACCCTCCAGACATGCTTTTCTCCAACAGCCTCTGGGCCAAATGTTAAATAGTAGCTGTGACCAGCCTCACGGATCAAGGTCAAGCTAGTACCCAAAAGCAAAAGTTCAATTTCTCAAAGCCTGCTGGTGAGAGCCCCAGTTCGCCCACATGGTGTAATTTTTAAATGGACTCTTGAAATCTGAGATCTCATTTCCTCCTATCTTTGTCCCATTTGTAGGACATTTAAAAGGCTTTGTAAGGCCTCGCATAGATGCTTCTGTGTGCTGGGGCTGGGGGGAGGGCTGAGGCATCGACACTGGGCTGTTTGGCACCCTGCAAAGGACCGGGTCTGACTGGAATACCAAGTGCCAGTGCTCGGCTGAGCTGTTCAATGCTGTGAGATGCAACAGCAGCGCTCCGGAGAGGATGAGGAAAGGTGATGGAAAAATGAAGACATTACGAATGCAGTTCCTTCCATCCGTTAGACTGTCACATTCACTTCTAATTCAATCAATTCAGATCAGCCCCCTTTAAAATCCTCCAAGGACTGGCACTAGCTCGGGCTCAGATCTCTTCCAGCTTCCCCTCCTGCAGGCCGCCTGCCCATCATGGCATTTCTTCACTTAGCTGTTCCGCAGGTTGACTTCAATTGCTTTGAATTTAAGCATCTCGCCTCCAAACCCTATTGTTTTTGCAATGCATCTGGCTTATTAACGTAGGCTATTAAAGCCACTTTGGAAGCAGATTTACCGAGGTGCAGATAAGTTTATCTGCCACAAAGTAGGTGTGAACGCCAGTTGCTGCTACAGTGACTGCTGCCAAGTCCTCCCACTGGTATCCCATGATCTTTTGTGGACAATTGGGGCAGCCTGCTTATCTGCATGCCACCTGCTGTGCAGGAGTCACCCTGACCCAGTGCCACCTTTCTATTCAAATACTGGTGCCGCGTCAGGTGGTGTTCTTCAGATTTCAGCACACAAGGAGCATCACTTGTGTGGTGCTGGACGGTCCTGTGCTATGCAACTTGACTTCATTGCCCTCTGGTGAGAGGAGTACACACAACAGGGTCTCTCAACAGTTTGTTTTTTTCATGGAGATCAAATGGGACCTGCATTCTACATTACAAGTGGCAACCAAACCAAAGAAGGGCAAGCTTCCAGGGTATCTTGTTGCATATAATGTAAACCAAGTTGTATGGAGCGAGAACAGATTCTCTGTCCTTTGTGCACATACATCCTTCAAAAAAGCCCACTCTGAGAGCGGTCTGTGCACTTGCTAGCTTTTCTCTGCTGCTCAGACTGGGCTGCCTTACACACAGTGCCCTTGGTACTTTATTACTCTTCCCTCAAGCTGCCAGGACACTGGTGCTCTGGCCGTCTCCTTCCCAGTAATTCGGCAGGACAGGGAGCATTTTGCCATGTCTGTGCTCACTGAGGCCTGGGCAAACCACGGGAATGGAATCCCAACCTGAAGACAAAACATCATTTTATCCCTGGTGGTGTTAGGGTTATTATCTGAACAGTAACTAGCTGTCCTTTTTGTCTCACTTTTGCCTGACAAAAGTGAAGTTCTGAACTGAGATCACTGCAATATATCCTGTGCTAAAACTGTCCAGCTTACATAGGAGAAAAAAAAAACCTGAGAGATAACATAGTCAAAGAACTCTGGTCTCTAATCTACCAGATAGATAAAAAGACAGAAGCACGAGGAAGATGTCCTACAGCATGATACAGGAGAGATGATGACAACGAAATGTGTCAGACTTTATAATTACTGCTAATGAGGTTAATCTAAGGGCAACTAATCCTGTGGGAGAACACAGTGTCTTGGGGATCAAGGTCTTCTCTGAAATACAGGAATGTTTTGTAGCCCTCAATCTCTAATGCCTCTCTCTTTCTGGGACATCCATGGTCCCCCAGCTCAGAAATGCCTCCTTTTTTCTGAGCCACCCCAGCAATACGCAGTCAGAGATTCCTACCCCCTCCAAGGTGGTGGCTTATCTGTTGGCATCCTGCACCCCAGAGCAAAGAACGGGTTTGCCTCCTGCTTGCACTAGCTCCTGACTGCAGAGGCACAGGCCTGTGTGTGCACTGTGGTTTGTTTTGAAAAGTGCCTTCTGATTTATGTTTTACCACCACTGCCAGATATTCCAGGTCTCCAGCTTTCTTTTGGCCCATCAGTCAAGGCATCATGAGGACCAAATGCAGATGTGCCAAATGAAGAGCTCCAGTAAGAGGTCTAGAGTAAAAACCTGCTGTTTCCATTTCCTTGTCCTTTTCATGGACCCCTCTCACTGCCACACTTGTGACTACACAACAGTCCTGCAGCAACCTTTGTGGATTAAACATTGTACAAATCATAGTGTTTCTTCCAGTTTTGGGGACTTAACTTTGAACCTTTTTTTTTTTTTTTGCACAGGCACCAAAAAGGTGACAATACAAAACAGCCATTGGAATTCTTTGTTTTGGCACAAAATTTCATTGCTTCTGATGAGGAAAACTATCTCAAATGTTGTCGATCCCAGTGGAGGGAAGAGAAATAGGGCAAGTGGCTGCTCCACCCAAAGCTCTCCAGTCCCCAAGTGGAAGTATCTCCAAAGGTCTCTGGGAAGGCCCCGCTGAGCCACATCCAAAAAGCCCAGGACCAATCCCAAGCACAGGTACGTTCTGTTTCATTGTTTCATCCCACTCTTCATGTGACAGCTTTCTTTAAAATCCCACAGTACCTCTTTGTCATCTGGAAACATCATTTCTGGCTTGCTTTCTCTTTTTCTTGCTCTCTGATTTCCAAAGGACTCTTAACTGAGAACCTGTTTTCTCCCTTGCCTCTACACTTTACTTAACTCCACTTTACATATTCTATTAAAAATAAAATAAAATAAAATAAAATAAAATAAAATAAAATAAAATAAAATAAAATAACACTACAACTGAAAAAAAAAAGAGCTAAAGTCATTTAACAGTAACTGCAGCATTAGTGCCTATCTCTCACTGGTGCCAAAGGTGAGAGGAATTTTAGTAATTCAATAGATAGATAAGATAGGAGAGATAATTTGATTTAGTATTTGGCTGTACCATCTTTCTGAAATACAGTGAGGCTAAAAGAATGCTAAAGGTCACACGATATGTTTCTTAAGGTAAAAGAAATAACTTTTTCTAAGGGGATACATTCATTCCAGGTGCAATTTTAATATTTTTAACACTTTGCCGAGAGTCACCCTTTAAAGGAAGCTCTTGTCCCACAGCTCTGCAGCGATTTTTAAGCGAGTACTTTCCCTCCCTCCACATCCCCACACTAACACCAAGGGTGCTCACAAGGAAATCCCAACAGGCAGACTGTTATTCAGGCCATTTCTGCATTTCTAAGGCTCATCGACCTTTCTTTTGTCAGATAAAAGCTTCCCATCTCTTTAAGCCCTTCATTCTTGCAATAGTCCCACAGAAAAGTTGACATCCTTGGCAAGGAGAGTGAAAAGCAGCTTGTCCGCCCTTCCCAATAGGCCAGGCTGGAGTTGTTTTAGCCTGTTTAAATCTCTCCCCTATTTATATGCTAATGTTCGGTATCAGCAGAAAGTATAAACAGTGTTGTTTACAGCTCCCTATAGTCTGTGAGCACCAAGCTGCTAGGAGAATACGGTGTACTGGCCAAAGAGATGTATTTATTGACAATGAAAACGGCCACTTCTAAGACTCTGAGAAACAAAACTGAACTGTAAAAATGCAGTGTCAGCCAACAATATAACCGTACAGAGCAGGACTGGCAAAAAGCCATTAGCCAGGGGGTCAGTAATGGGCCCCGGGGAGCTAGGAGACTTCATTTTTAACAGGGAGAGATCTGGGGAGACCTTGAGCACAGAGACCTCTGAGAAGAGAGCATCAAGCTCTTTGGCAAGGCGGCTTACATGCTCCATTTGCTATTATTGCAGATTTTTGTTAGTGGATAATGGCTCATAGCTTGGCTCACAACTCTCCTGGATCCTGAAGTGAATTAAACTCTCCTAAGAAAAACAGCATGGTCTAAAGGAGCAAGCACAGGAATTCTTGAGTTCAGATCTTGGCACTCTATTTCGCTATGTGACTCTTTTCACCAGGAGAGCATTAGTTATTAAAAATAACAATAACAGCAAAACCAGGAAGCAGTGAGGATGTACATCAAAGATGTTTGTGCAGTGTCAAGCTCTCTGAAGACATTAGATACCGAGCCTGCCTCTACATCAGCCAACAAAACGTTGCCCACTGTAATGGCACTCCCTGCTCAAACTGGGGGAAATACCTGCTTAACTCAGCAATGCCTTATCTCCCAGGAAATAAAGACTAAAAAGCCTTAAAAAATCCCATCTACCACAGTGTCTACTGTGTGCAAGTCTCTCATGATTGTATAGTCACTGATGAAAGATGCTAGACTGGCTGACCTGGCAATCTTTATAATGTTTTTTTTTCACTGAAAGATGGAAAAAGGCTGTGACAAAGTTTAACTCTCATTCTTCTACCACATATATTTTTCAGCTCTTGCCAGATGTGATTCTCTTCTCTACTTCCAAGAGGGACAATCCAGGGGACTTTGACTAAAATCCAAGGGACAAGGGAACCCTCTCATGACTTGAAGTCACCCAGACCAACTGAGCTGCACCAGCTGCCTGCAGTGACAATACCACACTCTGCTCTCTATGTGGGGGGACTCCAGTGGCCAGATCATCTCCTCAGTGGCCCAAAGCACATCACACCCATCCATACCACTGCCTCTCCTGCTGGGCAGTCTCAGACAAGCTGCCAAGAAAGGACTGAGTTGTTTTTTTTTTTTCCAGACCTCACAGTGGTCCAGCAAAAACAGTGTGAAGACACATGGGTAGGACAATGTGAATTTGCTTGGCTGTTACTGGAGAACTATCCATACATTGTAAATTAAAGGAAGCCACCTACTCAGCAACTTTGCGTCGGCACTAAATTCACGAAAGGGTAAAATGCCAGAGGACCACTTGTAATGGCATTGTGCCTTGTCAGAGCAGCACAGCCACAAAAAAAAAAAAAAAAAGTTTGAGGTGCTGAACAATGAGAGTATTATATTGGCAAAGATGTGCTTTTCTTCCAGTGGGAATTCAGTCACTAAGTGCATCAAGAGGATTTACAGCAACCTTTTGCTGTAATAACAAGATATAGGCCTACATGAAAATCCCATGTTTGGCTGTGGCACACTGGCTAAGACTGCTCTGTCTCCTTCTTGCAGTGAGTTCCCAAAGAAGGAAATTGCTTATTTCTGCTACTACAGTATGTCTGAAATCAAGGAGTAGTCTGGTGGTGCCATGCCAAATTTTCCGATGCATAAAGTTTCTCTGTCTCCCGAGTTAAAGTAATCTGCATGTGGTCTTGCACATATTACTTACATCATCTTTTTAAGAAACTTAATCCGTCCAGTTTCAAGCTTTGAAGTTTTTCTGTACAATGTAAAAGGGTTAAGTCTACCCAGACTGCGTCAGGTGCCCTGCATGCATTACACCGCGTATTTTGTGGGATTACAAGTGCTTATCAACTGTGCAAATAAACCAGTCCAGTGTATTTATTCCACTCAAGATTGTCTGAAACTGGTTCATTTCTAATAACTGTCAGCTAAACCACTAAGCCAGGTGGGGATGATTCTTGTTGGAGCCGTTTTGAGCTCTAACAGCAGTTTCTAAATCTCCTTCCATTACTTATTATTAATTACTGTTTGTTAAGCACCAGCAGTGCAATCGGTGCTAGGTAAAAGACAAATAAAGGCAGCCCCCGTACCAAGGGGTTAACCTTTAAGCACAAGGCATATCAATTAAGATCACAGTATGAACAGCGAGAGACGCCTTGAATCTGAAGCCAGGAGCCGGGATTTCAGTGATTGTATTTCTGGCGTCTGTGTCTGTAAGAGGATAAAAAGGCACAGAAGTGTTTTGGGGTAGGTGGGGGTTTCGGTCAAATTGAAAACTGACGCACCTAAAACTAAGAGGGAGAACTGCAGATGCACTTCTTAGATATGTGTCTACAGAAATATTAATAAAGAAAAGGCTAGAATGTAGTCTTACATAATTCATTGCTGCTGGGACACGGGCCGGGAGGGAAGAATGGAAAAAACAGTCCATAAAGATGCCAATAGTTTCTAAGCAGAAACATCTGTTGAAGTCTTAAAAACGGCCAGGCCTGCAGCAAGCTCAGCAACAGGAAAGCCTGTAGTTGATCACCCCTACCCTCATCAGCCCCATGCGCCCCTGCCCCTGGGATCCGCGCGGAGCTTGGAAGATAACTGACACCATGAATCAAGCCCGGCTCCTTTCTTCAAGGGGAAAGGGGAGGAACAGAGGGCCAGGATGGGCGTCCGGGGAAGACGAATGATTATTTGGAATGGAGGTATTCAGGAAGAGTTACAAAAGAGTAAGGGAACACGCAAAGGGAGACCTAGTGGCTTATCCACTCTGCCCCAAAGGGGCCAGTGCTTGGAATTTCCATTGCTCTGTCCAGTTTAATTTTAAATGTCTCAAAGCAAAAGGCCTCGCTCCCCTCGGGAGGCTATTGCAAAATCCCACAAATCATCTGTGTCTTTTACATGACTGCCCCTTCCTTTGTGATAGTTCATTTAATTTTCTTTGTTTTCTCTTGATATTCAGCACTGCCCCTAGACATATCAGTTCCAAACAGCAATTTCTTCTTCCTGAAAACATTTTTCTCCCTTCTGCTGTCTTCTCTCAAGAAAAGAGCTATCTTAAAAATATCTGTGGAAGTTATTATTTTGTGCACCTCTGCAGGATCTGCATCTGCCTGCCGGAAGACAGCATGGTTCTGTTGGATCTTACAAGGCTCTGTGAAATGGGGACCTCAGCTGCTGTATTACAAGAGAAGTATAAATTGGCAAAAATTCTTGTATAGTAAGAGTTTGGAGCTTTCCCTTCCCAATCGCTGATCATTTCAGATGCCAATTTTGGCAAACTGCTTACTAGGTCATGTTAAAGCTTCTTTAAGTATATAAAACTTTAACCACCAAGAAAGCCAGACTTCAATCAACAACAATGAAAAGTTTAACTACCAATCTTTGGGTAGGATATTCCATTTTTCTTTCAAATCCAAAACTCAAGCAGCCGATGCTATCTGTGGGATTGGGCAGCAACCTAGCAGTAAATTTCTGAGTTTATAAAGGATCCTCTTTTAGAGTCAGTGGTGACTGGAGGATCATGAGAACTGTATTTCACTTCTCAAAAAAGGTAATATTCGAGTGCTTGGGATTTCTAAAGTATTTACCCTGCACTTCTGAAAATCTAAGCAGAAGCCTTCCCCTCCCTTGAAGTAATCTCTAACATTTTCCTGTTTTTCCATGTAAAGAGAAAATAGCTTTTCTACATAAAGCTAGACCAAAGGGTCAACATATGACTTCGATTGGAACTCTTGCTGTAATGTTAACTGTGCAATCCACACACAGCATGACAATAACATAAATGAGCAGAGCGGGAGGGAGCAGAGTAGTGGTTAAAGTCATCAGATGCTCAAAAACAAACTCTGCAGTTTCCACTATTCATCAGTTTTCGGATTTTGACCTAAGTCTGCACTCAAATTGGCACTTTGTGATTTGCTTCCTGGCCCAAATGCCCAGAGTCCTCAGCGCTGAACATCAAAGAAAAAGCTTGCTGCTTGAGTGGCTCCCTTCCAGCCTGCCTGGCTCTCTGCTCTTCCCCATCTTTTGCTTTTTTCATTAGATAGGCAGCTTTGGATAAGAAACTATGGAGCTTTGCAAGGCTTTGGGGATCCATTTATCAACTTTTGTAAGATCTTTTCCACCTTGACGCTTTTGCTTTCTGGCTATTTCTAGAAACACTGGATTGGGGAGGACTTCCTGATAGTGACCTTGTTTATGTTGTTGGTTGCAGAGCTACTTATCCTTACTTCAATGTCAGCAGTGGTACAAATAACATTACTAGTAGCAGTGGCACTAGACCTAGCTTTTTCATGTCACGCAGCTCAAAATGCCTGACCAAAAGGCCTTATCAGCAGCTTGGCTTCCCTTTCAGGTGTAGAGCAAAGTTTTCACGCTGCATGTGAGGCACCGGATGACTTCAAAGAACGAGAAACACAAAAAGGATTAGGGAGCTTCTTGCTTCCCGCTATTCCTCCTGCAGATTTGTAGCCAGTCTCAACCAGCTGCCTGCATCCAGTCTGGGCTCACGAAGCCCCAGTTCCCCGCAGGTCCTCTGGCAGCACACAGGAAGGGAACGGTCTCCAACAATGCAGGAGTAAAGGGAACTTTTAACTCAATGTTAAGCCTCTTAAAATATGAGCTGAGGTTCCTCTGAGATTTTATTAAATCTGCCAGCCTGTGAAATACTGCCCAGTGGATCAAAGACACAATGCGCCCTTTCTTAGCTTGTGTTCAGCTCTTCATGGATCTCCAAAGGGCAGTAGGGCTGCAATGTCTCGTTAGGTCAGTCACTAAATACAAGGAACCCAAAAATTCACCAGAGACCAAGAGTCAGGATGGGACTCTGCCATCCCTTGGGGAGCACGACGTCTGACCCTTTTAATTCATCTTCACTCCCTTCTCCCCCCAGTACACTGAGAACCACTCACTGCTGCCGATGTATAAAACCCTGCCACGACAACTACTAAAAAGGGCAGCTCCATGCTGGCATTGATCCTGCCTTCATCTCACTGCATTCATTGTCTATGAGAACAGAGGCAGGATTAGAAGGGGGTTTAGAGTGCAACCAGGCAGTAAGATTAATAACTGCTCTTGGGTTCATTCATGATCAATTGAGTGTGTGTGAATCTGCAGAGGACCTTCTTTAAACAATCAGTAGGGATAGTAGGGGCGGTTGTGGGACCAGAAATCCAGCAAAGCACGTTTCAGTTACACAGCATTTCTTGTGGGGAGGAATTACAGGTTTTGCTATCTCTAAGTCTGCAAATATGGCTCTGCTTGTGTAGATCTGCTGGTATTTACCCCCAGATCCATTATATACCTTATACTACCCAGAAAATCTACTGACTCCAACGGGCACACAGTCAAGCCTTATGTGAAGGAAAGTTTGCTATCAGGAACGCTTCCAGGTACACACTCGAAATGTGTCAGCTGCTTTTTAAACAAATTAAACACCTTGAAGCCTACAGAATAATACATTTCACCAGATTTGTCCCAGCTTTATCTCCTACAAGTAAATACAGATAAATCACATGATCTGGTTCCTTTTCCTGGAGGGTTAAGCATTTCCTTTAAGAATTCTTGTATATGTGAATACAAGATACAGCACGCACAGAGGTCACAGAGGTGACTATTAAATGGGCTTTCTGTGAACCACCACGTTGGTAAGACCTGCCTGCTCCAAGTTCAGGAGTTGCTCATGTACAAATGAAAGGTGCAGCCACGTGTGAATCAAAACTGTTTGGCCATGTTGTCCATTGATCACCTAATTCTGTTAACATCACAAATCAACGTATTTTTGCAGGACTTCGACTGAAGAGTAACCCAGGTGCACATGAGTGGGGAGTGCTTCTGGCCACCACTCTGCTGGGAGTGAACTCACGTGGAAAAGGCACATGCTGGGCTCTGATTAAAGAATATGCAGCATCATATTATGTTTATTTCCAGAAATACCCTTATTTTCTATGTGTGTCTCACTTTTTTTTCCTGAAAAACATCAAAATGAAGAACAAGCTACATCTAAAGGAATGCCCACATCCACTACTGAGATGGTGCTGAGGGTAGCAGTTGGCCTCCCTACACGGTACTACAGAACAACTTTGGAAAAAGGTGAAAAATAAGTTTCCCTATGTAATGGTCAACAATACCTCATAGGCATGTCAGTGCAGCCCTGGAATGCCTAGGGCCAGGCTTCAAAAATGTGGAGCCCTCCAGGCATTTTGCTTGGCCTGACAAAGGACAGGAGGGAGGGCACATGGTCGCTCTGCCCCTGCTGCACTCCCTACCACGTCCTGTAGGACCAGAATTCGTACTTGAAATAATGGAGCATTACCTGAATAGACATCCCACAGCCTGCATACAGCAGCTGGCCCTATTCCTAAGCATTTAGAAATTGGCCATCCCGATTTAATTGAAACAGCAGGAGAATTTATGGAAGCAAAATTTAATTCCCCTAACTGATAATTGAAAGATTAACTTCTGGAGGGAATGCCTTGAGATTTTTAATGACCACACACGATCAGGACCTTGGTTTAATATCTCAGCTATCCATATAGTGCTGACTAAAAGAGTGCTGAGGGTAGCAAAAAAGGGAAAAAAAAAGGTGGGGGGGAGGGGGAAAGACATATAGGCCTGTGCCACCCAATATGTAGTGTAAAGAGGTTAGTTTCAGACCCCAAAAATCTGTCTGTCCAAGGAACTTCTTATTGATTAGCAATTTATACTGGCATTAGTGAGAAGGAGTCCAGGAAAAACAGAGCTGCTACAGTGTGTTTTAAATCAAAACAAAACAAAAAATTCCCACAAAACGCCCACATGCTCTTGTTTTCATTAAGCCAAGTGCCAGTGGCTTCTGCAGACCTCAACCAAGATCGTTAATGTTCTGACTTGGACTACCTTTATGGGACCACCGTATGAGACGCTCATATTCACTCTCCACAGTAATTTTAAATTCTGTTTCCAATTCGTGCTAACCTCTTACCTCCCCCAAAACATTCATGAAAAATACACATTGGCATTGAAGGGAGAATGCAGCCCTTCCCATTTAACACGATACACTGGGGCAAGGGACAGGGGAAAGCAGAAGCAGGCTGTGCAGTGAGGCTGCACCAACTGGCCCAAGGTAGCTCAGCAATAGCTGTGTGGTGCTTTATCATCGCAGGGCTATATGACTTGATCAGATTATTATGAATTAGACCTTCTTAAATGCTGCTGAAACACAAACCTCTTCGGCCGCTTTAGCCCAGAGCAGATGATGGAAATCTCCTTTTTTGCTGATATGAAGCTGCTCTGCTTTGGGTTGGAGGCACAGCAGTCGGAGCAGCAAGGAGGACAGTGGGTAAGCAGAACGCATCGGTCTGCCAGGCTGTCACACCAGCACTAAACTCACTTAAAAAAAACAACCAGGAGAGACAGCTGGTAAGATATCTAAGAATGCTGATACTTCTGAGAAGGGGAGTGAGACACGGGTCATTTGTAAAAATAGCAGAAACCCTGTCTGTAACTTCAGCAACGTTCAACTTTTGTATTTAAAAGGGTCCTTGGAGGCTGCGGCTTTCGTGCCCATACCCCAGCTCCCAGGGAGCCTGGGAAAATAAGCTCATTGTGTCGGAAGGCCTTGAAAGGGAAAGGCGGCTTGCGGGAGGACGGGAGGAGGGGAAGAGCAAGAGCCCAGCTTGAAAACGCATGGAACGAACTAGAAAACAAACACGTACCTACCCCGGCACGCACACAGGCCCTTAAACTCTGCCTGAACTCCGAAATCTGAGACCAAGCTGGTTTGGGAGCCACTGCTCACTTTTCTTCTTCTTCTCCCCCCTCCCATTTTTTTTTTTAAAGTCATCGTTTTGTTTTCAATTACCTCCTCCTTTGTAAGGAGGAAGAGAAAAATCAGCAAAGTTTTGTGCGCGCGTGTGCGTGTCTCGCAGGCAGCTCAGGAAGAGCGAGCTGTCAAAAGCCCAGCCCAGTGTCTGGCTTTCTTGGTCCTGGTGAGGATTTTATAAATATTTGGGAGGTTGCACGGGGCGGGGGGGCTGCGGGAGGGCGGCTCGATAACTTTTGGGCCCACACAGCACACAAGTTTTGAAAGCCTGCTTTTCATTAGCATCGCCTAGCAACCCGCTCATCTGCTGCAAATCTCATCACGCCCCAGCAAAGCATCCACGGCATGCTAATCTTTTCATTTAATAGAAAAGCTGCTGTAATCTTTCTTCCTTTTCCTTTCTAAAAGAGCAGACAATAATAACGATAAAAAAAAAAAAAGACTCCGGCCCTGCTCCTCCTGCTGCCCCGCACCCCCGCCGGTGCTTTTGCCGACCCAGCGCTGCGCCGCGTTCCCATGGCCGACCCGTGTGTGTGTGTCCTGCCTGATACGGCCCAGCTGCGAAGGCGAGCTTGGGTCAGTTTTTGCTTTTTGTGTCAGGCGTGCTGGGAAGGGCGGGAGGAGAGGGGGAGTATTTTTCTGGCTCTGTGCTGAGAAAGGAAGGAGGAAGGCAGGGATACGGCACTCGCAGGCAGAGCGGCTTAAAGGCAATCGCTGGCTGCGGATCCTGTAACCGAAGCCTCCCCGGCAGGCAGGAGAGAACTGGTTTGTTCTGGTGTGTGCACATGCATGCGTGTGCATGTTTCGGTGTGGTGCACAAGCCCGAGCTCTCCCTACATCCACAGGAGGAGGGCGAGTGGTGCTCCCCAGCCGACGAATTCCTCCCCCGAGCAGCTGCACGGTGAGCCCAGCGCTGGAATCTCCCCGGGCCTTGCCTGTCCTTTCACTCCGAAAATATCACGCCTAAGGGGAGGGGAAGTGGTTTGGACAAAATAAGATTTGACCTGAGCATCTGCCCAGAACTGAAACCAAGCGTCTGCCTGCCAGAATTGTTGGCTTTCGATAAAGCTCTGATCATTTCTCTTGCCACCTGCCCATCTTCAAGCATGTCTGCGCTTTACGGGCCCACCCGGAAACACCAATCTGTCGTGAAACAGGCCATGCGTACAGCTCCTCAGCTGGACTCTGAAAACATGCAGAAAAGCACATTTTCAACTATCCAGGCCCATTTTTACAGATAAGCGCTCCAATAAACAAGGTCTGTGTTACCCTGCCCTGTGCTCTTCTGCCAGTCTCTTTCCCCTCTCTTTTTTTTTTTTTTCTCTTTTTGTCTCTTTCTTCCATCTTTTTCACACTTTCAAATATGTCTTCTCCTCCCCGCTCAGAAAGAAGAAAAGTCCTCAGAAGTGCAGTTATGGGGGTGCCCCCCCTCTGCTTAGCACCCTGTCCTATTTCCTGAAGCTCTGACCCTTGGCCACCACCACACCCACACGTGGCGATGGACAGCAGGCTCCCTCACAAAGAAAGATGTTTCCTTTTCCCCTCTCCAGCATAATGCTGGAAGCATTCCCATTAGTGAGGTGCTATAAAGATGACTGCAAGATCACAAGGCCCTAAAGCAAAGATTAAGTCACTTTGGGCAATAACGTTGTTGTCACACCTAGGGAAATGACAATGGGGCCATTGTGTAACAGATCAGGTAGAGATACTACAAATTTCCTAAGAAACCCAGATTAAAACTGGAGCAGTATGATGCCTTGGAAGCAGTAAATGTTATGTAAAGTTGGAAAAGATACTGATATTGTGGAAAACGTCACAGTGCTTTACATTCTTAAGTGGTATCAGGGCGAACAATTTATTTTCATCCCTATTCTTACATGTATAGCCCCAGTAACAAAACTTCGGAGAGCCCAGCCGAAAGGATGGCTGTAGGGCCAGGGGAAAGGACTCTGAGGAAGTTCAACCAATCTCAGCAACATCCTCTGGCAACAACTTCAAAAGGTTTCACGGAGCAGAGCGCCCACAAGCAGATGAAATGAGACCCTTCATGCACCATTTACTGCACTTGACAGGGAAGAACTGCCAGGTTTCAGAAAACACAGCCACCTCCTCTCTCTGCTCTTCTAAACAACTCCGGTGCTACCAGCTCCAGCTCCCTGCGCTGCAAACGTTTTCAGAGCCATCAATCAGGTGAAAACCCTGTTCCCTATGCACACACTGGGCTTGAAACCATTACGGGCTGGCTCTGCTCCCACAGCCAGCTGGAGACAGAGGTGCTTCAAATGCGTTCTACGGGAAAGGAAATACAAACCCCACCTTCGGTGGTTTTTAATTAAAAAAAAAATCTCAAGCCTCATTGGTTCTCAGGAAAACATGGACTTGGCTCATGTTTAAAGTGATAGTGTGGAAATAAAATTAGTGTTTTAACAAATTCCCTTCCCTCTGTTACCAGGACTGCTAACAAAAGGGCTGTTCACTGTAAAAATAAGACTTTCTGGTCACTGGGAGGCAGGTATTTTGGGCTTAAAAGACGAGTGAATTCAGTTATGAATTGACTCCTCTTGCTAGGAACTTGCACCTATCTTTTTACAGTCCTGCATTTCTTTGAAATCAGTTCTGGACTATTCCAGGGACAGTCAGCTCTGTTAGGCTGGATAACAAACAGATAGCAAAGTAATTGCGCCAGATGGCAGAGAGCAGCTAGTGAGGAATTGAATGCCACTTATCCAAATGGTAGATCATTTCCTGACAACTATCATCTCTATAGAGATAGAGGAGGATATATTCTTGTGAGTGGAAAATAAACTGGAACGGAAACAAGGTTCCTTGGTTGGGGTGCAAACTGTGATAATGGTAATTTTTCTGTAGTGTCCCATTGAACAGAAATTAAATACGTGACATGTCTCAGTTTGGTCTTTGGCGAACTTACAGGCAGGTTTCTGATACGCCAGCCTAGCTGACATTCTTCTTGGTAGAATGAGCCGAGAAGCCAAAAACTGAATGAACATCCTTCAGGCCCCCAGAGGACAGGAAAGGACTTAAAAGGTTATAAAACATACTAGTTTTTATTTCTGTCAACATAAAGGTAAGGAAACATGACTGCAAGCTCCTCTTGTTAACACTGAGTTCAAGTGTGTGGATACAGCTTCCTCACAACCTCTACTGGAGAAAAAAATGCTAGAGCAGCAGCAAATCATCTGTAATGTTCTGTGCTGGGAAAGACTCAGGGATAAGCAAACAATAGGTCCTTATATGCATCAACCTTTTTAAAAACCAAATTGTAACAGCTTCACTGTACAATTTATTCTGCTTGCTAGTGGTCATGTTCCTGCAGTATTGGTAAAATGACAGCTTCCAGTGAACAACACACAGAAGACATTCACATCACTGGACAAGGCTGAGAAATACAAGCTTTCACGGTGTTCTGCAGTTCAAAGGGAGGAAAGTTTGTCATATTGGCAGAATATTAGCTGAGGGAAAGAAAATGTGTGAAGGCAGTTAAATAAGGTTACACAGGTGCTGCTACTTCAGACTGTGGAAAAGAAATAAATTGTAATACATGTGAAAGAAAATAATCTCCCTAACGCTCGAGTCTCCGTATGCAGGGATAAAACCACAAGCCTGCTTCAGGAGTGTTGCCCTCCTCGAACCAGCCAAACATCACACTGACATTCTTTAGTGACTTGTGGTTTGGGGAGACGGCCATATGCAAAACTGAGGGCTGCGCAGTTCTTAGAACTAGGAACTATTTGTGTATGTTCTGGTAAACTCGGAGATGCAATCAAGCCAAAGAAAATTTTACAGGCTAATAGATCTCCGTCTCATGATAAATTTTATAGTCTCCTAAGACGATTTTATCATTTCAGGCCACTCCTCACCCCTTGCAAATCAACAGAGAGTTTCCAGTTTTAGTGGGAAGATGAGAAGGGTTTAAATGCTGCCAATATCAAAACACAGCATTTCAGACTAGTTGGAATTTGGAGCAAGACTTCTGTGATTGCTAGAAATAGGTCAAACTCAAATTACATCCGAGAGTACTGCAAAACTTTAAAGAAACCCAGGGAAAGAAATAAATGAAGTTATTACACTACTAAAAAAAAAAAAAGCCCTTACCTTGAACTAATTTGTACTGAAGTAGATACAATTTTACCAAAGGGATTTTTAAAATTTAAATTGTTAGGTAGGAAGAATTATTGCCTTATGCCTTACCAAAAGTCATCTTTGTTCTGGACTGAACTACTATATATATGTATAAATTTTTTAAGAGAATTCATACAGGAGATACCCTTAATGTTTCTACAGACTGAGCCTATCAGTGAAAAAATATCAAGAGTTGGACTTGTTACTAAACATGGTATTTTTTATTAAAAACAAACAAACAAACAACAACAACAAAAAAACAAACAACTGGCTTCACTAACTTCTAGTTGTATTAAACAGGTATAAAAAGAAAAAAATAAAAAAAAAAGGTAAAAATACCAGGTTTTAGTTTATCATTGTCAAGCACTTCTAAATATAAACTGGCAAATTGCGTCACCCCTCCACATTCCACCACAGGAAAATGCTGGTATTTTTAGGGTTCGGGTAGCTTTAGATCTAAGATGCACCCTTTTAACTGCCTGCACAAGTAGCAGCCATACTGGTCTTTCTAAAGGCAAGAGGGGATTGAAGCAGGCATCTTGCCAGCCAATTGCTATCTAACAGCAAAACAATGAGATTTAAAAACCCCAGTGTAAATGTAAGGCCTGGAGATGAGCCCCTTTAAATTCCATCTCCCTGCGTTTTTTTCTCCTCCTTATCTCAGCCCTAATCTTAAACCTCATCACAGCTGTCACCTGGCCCATCAGTGTCCTGCTTCCACTCTTTGCTGCTTCCCATTCTTGTTCCTTCAGGATGCCCAGAGAATTACTGTGAACGGGGGATATCATTTAACTTCACATTTCCAAACACTGCCTACCAGTGACTCAGCAGTTCATAAAGGCAAGGAAAAGGTGTTGCAAAAGATGGATTCATCTTGTTCTGAAACGTGCTTAGAGTATTGTTGGATAAATTTTCATATGAAAATAAAAATTCTTTCCCTTTTTTTCCTCTTAATATCCCATCCATCATTCGTTCAGTAACGTGCAATCTGTACTACAATAAGAGAGGCAACAGGGCTTCTTAAAAAAACAGAGTTGCTTTAATCACAGGTCAGACAACATGTTTGTTCCCAACAATACTTGAAACTATCAAAAAGAAACTTTCCATCTAAATCATCCAGAAGCAAGTCCCTTATATAAATATTCCTGGCCCAAAAGCTATGGTAAGTTTACAATTAGTTGAAAACAAGATTTTGTAATGGAAAGCATCAGACAACTGCAACAGCCATAGTCTGATTAGTTCTGCCTTTGCATCAACGGTGCAGTGACTGCAATTCCCAATGGCAGAACAAGCAAACACATCCAAAACAACATCCAAAAGGACTCCTTAACAGATCACTTAGGACACATCAATATATCCAGATGCTCCCAGCTGCCTGAACAACAGGGGCAATTCCATGCCTATCTCTGTGCTGGTATTAACTCATGGGTGTCCTCTGGAGGTCACTGCCTGGGCTTTCATGTGGTTACGACGCCTTTGTGGTAAATCCTTTCTGGTTTTGCAGGTGTAGAGATACGTGTCTTACAAACACAGCTTTCTCCTAACTTCTCTGCTCCCTCCTTTTGCCAGCAATTACTCAAAAAATGCAGAAAATATAGCAAAAACAAACAAGGATTGCCTGATCAAAGCTTTCTCATTCTGTTCTACCTGAAACTCAGTTTAGTGCCGATAAAAAGTAACAAGCCCTAGGAATGCTGGGCTCAGGAGTTCTCTAACTACCAAACACATCAGGGATGAGCAGCAGCACAATTCCCCCGTCTGCCAGTACACGGCTGCTGCATCCTCAGGCAGAGGAAGGCTGAGGACAAGAAAAATCCAAGGCCTCTGACCATGCAGTCTGGGACTTCCATGCTGACACCACCACCTTCCCTTCCCAACCATCATCTTTCTGTAGATAACTGCAAGGAGCACTGCTGACTCTTTTCAGAAAGACTAAAGATGCTTCAACCAGTTTTAGCTGGCCTAAAAAAAAACCCAGAGGATTGTTTTTCAGCCAGTTTAAGCCAGTTCCTGCAACTATTCAGGTCAGGAAAGTGCAAGTGCCAGTATAAGGGAAGGCGAGGGGAGCACACAGCTGGGAGCTGAACAAGCAGGAGCACAGCAAACCGATCACTTTAAATTGCCATGGAGATGAAGCCTAGCAAAACGCAGGAAGAAAAAATTTGCAAAGAAACACTTTGCAAATCTACTGAGTTAGCTCATGAGCTCCTACATGTTCGCTCCTTAAAGCTAAAGCATTTCTTCAGATATTTGTAAGAGATCTTCCCTGCTTACAACAGAGGTAACTGGGCCCTGCTCCACTCCTTTCCACTGAAGGCAGTGGAAAGAAATCATGCTGCTTTTGAGCAGCAATGGCAATCAAGGCAAGAAAAACAAAACACAACCAACAAACACAAGAACAATGAAACTAAAATATAGCCATGCAAAAGTAGTCCAGAAGGACAATTACAGACAGCAAACTACCGTGAGAGAAGTGGTAAATGGAGCCACTTTGGGTTTTGCACTGAAACCTGCTCTGTTGAACATCCTGCACTAGCTGGAAAGTGGAAATGATTTACAGTAGGCAAATATCCTGGTGTGTGACAGCTTGAATGCTGGCACAGTTGCGGATATAAATCGATGCTCCCCGGCTTGTAAATTAAATAAGCTTTGAATTCTTTACGAATCGGCAAAGTGTGTATAAGCTGCTCAAAGGCAACCTGGCGTGTACCTAAGGTAGGCTATGGCCAGACGCTCTCTGTGCAAACAGCTGTCTTAGTCTGAGATGTGACTGCCCTCCAGCTGCTGTACCTGCCACCCTGCTGAAGGCTGCCGTCGCCCCAGCTGTCGGCGTGAGTGCTCCTAACCCACTTCAGGCAGGATTTGTCACGTCAGTGTAAACGACTGGTTTGAGCTCATGCACCTTTCCCTTGCAGGAAACATAGTGGGGAGCGCACACACGAACCCCTTCCACGGTCGGAGGTGGCCAAGAGAGGTCACTGGTCAGTAATCGGGCTGAGTACTGCTCCCAGCTGGCTCCGGAGGAAGGGGGCTGCCCAGAGTTTTTGACTGCTTTCTTGTTTACATCTGGAAATTGCATGGGTTTAAGCAAATGTACAGTTTATATCCAATTCTCTTAACTACTGTAAACCCTTGTGTAAGCACTTACTGAAATTTAGCTTAAGCATGGGTGTGGCATGAGTTTCACTAAATCTGTTAAACTGATTTAAATTAAACGGGTGGGATTTCTGTGTGTTAACAAATCCTTTGCATCCCCAGGAGGGCAAATTCTCCCATTATGCACATACCCACGCAGGAGTAAACATGCACACAGCAAGAGTAAATCACATCAGAATTTGGCTCTGCTCTAAGCCTAGACCAAGTTTTAAATGGTAACAGATCCCAAGTGACAAATAACAGCAAACCTTGTATTCCTTTACTATTATTCCCAGGGCAAAAACACTACCTCAAATGCAGGGAATATGAAGCTTTCCATCCTCACCATCCCTGCACCTATTTTCCTCACGCTCAGGGACAAGCTTTGAGCAGAAGTGTGCAAGAACCTTGGTCTCCCAGTACTTCAAAGGGTAGAGGTCTTGCAAAGCTCCATATCCTGCCTGCTCCAAAGAATGGAGCAGAGCTGCCTTTGGCTTATGGGGGAGGAGAAAGGAAGTGCTTGTAAGCCTTGAATACAACCAGCACATACAGTAGGTCTGATTCTTGTCCTATCAGCCTTGACGCAATGTGTCCTTTTCCTCCAGCTACTTGAGATAAACAGGAAAGCAAAA